TCGGGGGCCATTGGGCTAGCTACTCACGCTTGTCTTTGCATAAGCATGGAACTCTCAAGCACGCAACACCTGTCTCCTGTGTCCTAACTCTACATGACTCTACAGAGGTACTTCCAGTCCTTGCACAAAAGAGCATAATACAACTGTGCTTTTAGGCACGGGGGAAATTCTTTGTGTTTGGCACAGTTTAGTGCGGCATGGATTTGTGTGTTGAACCAAGCGAATTTCCATAACATTATATACTAGAGTTAGCAGCCGGCAACTCATCTTCAAGGAGATCATGGCGCAAAGACTGTATGCCCTTAGAGACTGCTGAATCCACTGCAGCCTGTATAGTGGGTTTCAACAGTTTGGCCACTGCTGCAGTGTTTTGAGCAGAGACGTTAGATGATTCAGGATCTGAGGTAGAGTCGGCGTCCAAATCTGGCGGGGAGGCAGGTTGAGAGGCCTCCATGGCATCAGCCAAGTTGCACGTGCCTTTTTTCCCAGTGCGATACTCCGGTTGCGGTTGGCCTCGGGATCAACAAACTTCTCCGTCTTGGGAAGCAAGGTGATGCGGAGGATAGCGTCCTGTATGGTAGCTCGGTGACTGCTCTGGCCGATCTAAAAATGCAGGTTTATAGTCTCGGTTGTCTAGAGCTCCTCACATATGCGACTTTCTCTGCAGGCGCCGTAACCGGAAGTCCTGCATACATTATTTATATACATGTTTCCCAGTTGTACTTGGTCATTTCCCAAAGCAACAGTGGGTCCAGAAAGAGGGTAGCATATGCAACAGTAATTGCCCATTTATAATGATAAATCGTTCTTTATATATAATATGTTAGTGATCTCCCCACATATACATCTGCAGAGTTGGTAGATATAAGTAACAAAAACGTGGTGATTCTCCTAAACTGATACTTTGTAACCACACATGCTGAATATTGAATAACAGAACACAACCTCTGTGATAATAAAACGGTGCCAGGCCTCCTACTACTCAATCAATAGCTACACATTTATCCAATATCCACAAGGAAAGTTCATAGTCCAATATGATTTAATAATAGCTTGTCAGGTCCTCTTCAATGTATGTAAACTTTAAACACTCACCAGATTCTTCCGACCAAATGGTCTAGTAACGCTTACTCTGCTTTTAACAACAACACGTGCCCAACTCCCCGTCTGATCCAAAAAACTGGCAGATTTCTGTTAACTCCTCATCAGCCTCTCATTAGCAACAAGTGATTTTTTTTTTCTTAACCACTTGAAGACCCTATAAAATGTTATTAAACATTTATTTTCACCCCAATTTTTTGGTATAATATAAAAGACGGGGTCACGTCGGGTAAATAGACACTAAATATGTCAACCTATAAAATTGTGCGCGCCCGCGAAATCGCAGAAAACGTCTTCAACCAAAATTTGGCCATAGGCGACACTTTAAACGTTTTTACCGCTCATACGTCTAGAGTCGCACACAAGAGGGGGGAGGGGCAGGACGTCTTAAGACTCCCTCCCGCTGCTAGCAGACTTCTGTCCGGCCGTTCACAAACGGCCATGGACGGAAGGTGGTTAAACAGAGCTCACAGATACATCAAGCAGTTTTTCATTTCCCCAAAATATAAAACGAAAAGTAGCACACGGCATAAATTTAAACATGTCTAATAATGTACGGTCTAAAAACTTACAAGACAAACGAAAAGTACAGCTCTGTAACAAATGTAGTTCGATGCCATCAAATAGGCAATCCCCCCCGATAAAAACACTATCCACAGAGAGCTCTCTCCATGCATGTAGCGCCAGCGTGTATGCTCTTCCCCGACGCGTTTCATCCACAAGACTTTTTCCAAGGTTGCATGCACACTGATTCTAACCGGCTTATTAAGGAACCTCCCGGTAGTCATAATTACAGATTCCCCCCCCAAGATCTCTAATTTTCATTAACCCAATAAACCCCTCCATCTAAACGATCTAATAAAATCCCAATATACTAACAAGGGTTTGAAGAAGATCTTAACTGGGGCAGTTTGCATATATACTACTATCTGAAGAAAATTGCAGAACATAGTAATAAACCATTAAAATATAAAAACATGCTACTAAAAAAATAAATGCAAAAAATCATATAAATCTAAATGTCATATTCATATATTCCTAGAGCACATGAACCCCATACTCTCATTTAAAATATTATGATACCCTATTTAAATATGGACCTAACTATTATTAATCAAAACAATTTAGGTCCAGTTCAATATTTAACCCTTTGGGCTGCATTGTTCCCAATAAAAAATCAATTTCCTTTCATTCTGAGATAACCTCCTAGTTCTATTTGCACCTCTCCAGTGATATAAAACTCTATCATATATATACATACATACATACATACATACAATTTTGCCAAAAGTGCATAAAGATCAAAGTGCCCCACCAGGTCGTCCAATTATAAGTGGGATTAGTTCTGTTTTATCCAGAGTGGGTGAATATGTTGATACAACCGAGGGTAATGTAAACAAAATCCTTTTTAACCACTTGCTGCCCAGAGCACTTTCTTACATTTGCACACATATGATAACATCTGAATTTTTGGCTAGAAAACCGCTTCAGACCCCAAAACAATCTTTTCTGAATGCAAAGGCCCTGTAGAATAAAAAGATGCTAGTTGCAATTTTTTATGTTGCACAAATGTTTATCAAACAAGTATTTTTAGGATAACATACACTAAAATTAAATTTAGTGCACAGAAACGGAATATAACACCTAATTTTTTGGTAATATATAAAAGATGGGGTCACACCGGGTAAATAGATACAACACATGTCAAGCCTTAAAATTGCGTGTGTCTGTGAAACCGCAAAAAACTACAATAACTAAAATGTTCCATAGGCGACACTTTAAACGCTTTTACGGCGCATCAGTTTAGTGTTATCCGTGATCGATGGGCCTAGAATGATTGCTCTCACTCAGACGCTCGTGACAATATGTAACATGTGTGGCACAATTTTCGTTTTTGCACGCAACGCGAGTTTGCGTTGTATTTGCATGCACGTGGGGGACTTAAACTTTTTTTTTGTGTGACAGGTCCTCTAAATGGAGACATCAGGGGTCTTTCAGACCCGTAATGTCACCTAGGGACCCCAAAGAAGCTGATGAATCAGAGATTTGCTTCACCAGCTTCTTCATCTGGCTCTAGGTGCCGGAAAATGTACCCAGTGACACCGGAAGTTCCATTGATCGGAAGAGAGATCAGCAGCTGGAAGCCGGTAATCTCTCCTCTGATCCATCAGGGGAGACTCGAGGTGCCGGTCTCGGGCTCACACAGGGACAGTGGAGCCCAGGAAGTCGACGGCAGCACCGGCAGAGGGGGCTGAGGGTGACACGCCGCAGCACCGTACAAGTGATCTGGTGCTTGTACAAATGCTGAATCACTTGTATTGAAACAGCAGCAGCTGTGTTCTTGGTATAACCACTTCTAGCGGAGTAGGTACATTTACTTAAAACCGCTGGAAGTGGTTAAAAGTAGAGATGTAATAATTCCCTTTCTGAATTCACTGATCTAGATAATTTTATTTTTGTAACTGTGGAATGTTGGTGTAAAGCGACTGGTAAAAGGCAACAGAAGGGCAACAGTGCAGTGTCGGATTCCTCGCATCACCTTTCAACATCTTGTGGAGTCATGAGGCGGCCCAACGAAGTAATCTCGTGGAGTAATCTCGTGGCCCAACGAAGTACTGATGGGCTGGTCATAATAATCTGGCCACTCAGTGTATATAAGGATAAGGAAGAATAAAGATGTTTTGTACAAAAGCCCATTTTAAGAGGACTGATCGAATTGGTTGTATACCATGGGGAAGTTGCCATCACCCAATGTGGGTTGGAAATGTCCCAAACTGACAGTTTGTTAGAATAAGGAGAAACGGTATGTTGGAGAGAGAATATAATGCACAGGCGAGTATTTTGGAAAAAAGGTTTAAAGAAAAAGGATATAATAAGGAGGAAATGAGGCACACTAAAAGTAAGTTTGGAAAAATAAAAAGGAAGTGCCTATTGAAAACTAGAAATAAGGATTGAAAATAAGCCAATTATACTCTTTTGTTTATAACTAATTTTACAGCTCTGTATAAAGTTTTTGAAGTATCATGAATAAACATTGGAATATTTTAAGAATGGACAGAGTTATAGGTCCATGTATTACAATGAATCACCACGTTTTGTTACTTATATCTCTCAACACTGCAGATGTATATGTGGGGAGATCACTAACACGATTTGTAAACGACTGCGGGTTCACATATATGTGACAGGAATTTATTACACTAATATTTTGGGTATATTTAATACACTTATTTACACTATTAATTAGGTTATTGGAAAAATGCGGTTTACATTTATTATCCAAGTAATTACCCATTAGCTTGCATTTTTCCATGCCTAGCGTTTAGTCCTTTCAGAAAATGAAGATATTTGTAGTTGTGTAGATTTTGCTAGAAGTGTACAATGCACAAATCATGAGCTTTTACATGTGCATGTCATTCTTTGCAGTTCTTTTAAGTGGGACTAAAACCTCTGGGATATGCATCCTTCCTTGTTTGGGAACTGTGGAGGTGCTCAAACTGGGAACATGCTAGTCTGCCTTTTTGTTAACTCTGCATTCAGTACTACTCAACAAATCTCATTTTCTGAGTGGGCAGCCAACTTCATAAGAATGAATGATGTTTGAAAATAAGGGGAACTCCAAAATTGGACTGTACCCCGTGTTGGTTAAAATCTCTAAATGTTTTGCTACTTCAATCTGTACTTCCAAAGTTAGCTAATACAGAAAGCTGCAGGTTCGGCAGAGCTGATTTTGTTGGTGAAGCTTTACAATGCTGGTACAGAAATCAGGCAGCAGAGATAAGTGTACTAATACTAAAAAAATATTATTAATAAAGATTAGAGAAACATTTGTCGCAAAACAATGCATGCTTGTTCATTTCTTATATGGGCAAATAATATTTTCTTGTGTTTTGATTTAGAGCATCTACACTTTTACTAAGGGGTTTCAAGATGAATGCAGACGGATTCAGCAGAAAGCAACTGCCTTACCACAGATTACTGCTGCATCACTAACTACTGCTGCAACACAAATTGTTGACCCAGCACAAATACGGAGAACATTACACACCAGCTATAAAGTAAGTAAAACATACTAGAACATAGACCTGAAGATTACAAATATATCTAATTATTACAACCCCAATTCCAAAAGCAACACGTTTACAGAGTGTTGTTAAAAGAAGAGGGCATGCTACACCGTGGTAACCAATTTTTTTGAGACATGTTGCGGCCATCAATTTAAAAATTAGCTTATTTTTTTTCTTAAAATTTGTACATTTTCTCAATTTTAACATTTGATATGTTTTCTATTTTCTATTGTGAATAAAATATGGGTTTATGAGATTTGCAAATCATTGCATTCCGTGTTTATGCAGATTTTACACAGTGTCCCAATTTTTTTTGGAATTGGGGTTGTACAATTTGTAGCACAGCCTGACTAGAAACCTCATTGCAGTATGCATATATGCAATACATACTATAAAAACCCAATTCATTGCAGATATTGTTGGGAATGGTTAGAATCTCAGTTTTTTTATTCTGTCTGTACCCCATTGGAAAATACATAAACAAATTCTTCCCACACGCACACACCTCTGCATCCTTTATAATTGATGTATGTGATGGCCAATGCTAGTACCATTAAGAGACAAGATGTTGCAAATGCCACTAATACAAAATTGTTTTGTTATCTGAGCCTGGCTGCAGTCCAGTGTTTCAGAGAAAACAAGTGTTTCTTGATCAAATAGACACTAGGGTTGCACCAGAATTTCAGCCGCTGAAACATATCAGCTGAAAATGGCACTTAGGGGAAAGTGGCCGAAATTGCAGTGCATCTTTAGTTTCTCTCTTCCCTGCTGGGAGCTGCTCAATGTCCCCTCTGACGCTGCGGGGGAGGTGTCGGCTGTCAGCCGTGGCACAGAATACTGATCCTCCTCGCACCGCCGGCGCAGTCTTCTGTGACAGCCAGGAGTCAGGCTGGAGATAGGAGGAGTCAGGATGCAGAGCAGTTACAAGCACTAAGCAATCAGTTGACCGTTGAGTGTTTGTAAATAATTGAGGACACATTTTCTGTGTCCCTGATTATGAATGAACAGGAAGTACTCTACATCACTTCCTGTTCATTCATGATTGTGGACATAGTAACTCATACTAAATCCACAGTTTATGAATGGGCAGGAGCACTCGGTATAGAGGCTTCCTGTTCATTCATAGCAGGGACTGCAGAATAAAAGATTTAGGACTCTGTGTCCTAAATCTTTTTCTATTTTAAAAGGGAGATATCAGGGGTCTGTTTAGACCAGGGGTAGCAAACCTCCGGCCCTGCAGCTGTAGTGAAACTACAAATCCCATGATGCATCTCTCTTCGGGAGTCGTGGCTGTGAGAATCTTGCAATGCCTCATGGGATTTGAAAATGGATTTTACGGTGAGTGCAAAAATCCTACTGTCTCTCCCGTTCATTGAAGGACACAGGGAACAGATCCTGAATGATAGGGACGTCACAAAGCAGTACACACTGAGGGATGGGCAACAACAAATAAACACCCAAAAGACCCCTGCTGGTGGCCCAACCCCCCACTTGCTGACAAGTCTCCAGTTTTTTGCCTAGCGTCAGGAGTAAGGACCTAAAAAATTTTCTCTGGATAATTTTTTTCCTTTCTTCCGTTTGACTCGATTTTTCTTCTAGCAAGTGTCCCCAGGGCGACATGCTGGTTGATTGTAGATCCTTGTAGTCTTCCCTGGGTGACCGACGAGCGCATGCAGACTCTGCCACGGTGGGATTAGGCGGCCACTACGCGAGGCGTTTCCGCTGCCTGGGCTTGCCTCGGCCCCTGGAGGGGCTCATGTATGGGTTGTAGGTGGGGGGCTGGCGCTATGATGGCCGCTCGTACGGATGAGGGCAAGTTGCCCTTTTTCTGTCACTTCCGCCCGTGCTTCCTATCAGCCTCGGGCGGACGGGGAGTGTCTTCCTTTCGGCCCGGGAACGCCGTAGGAGGACACATTGTGCAGCTCTCCTCCACCTTGCGGAGTCGGACGGCTGGGCTGGGACAAGGACGCTCGGGGTCGTGAGTACTGCGGGGTCCCTATCTTTCTTCTCCCTTGCCTAGTGGTCTCCGGTCAGTGGGGTGGTTTTTCTGCAGGTGTGCGATGGATCGCAGGGACAACTCCCTTGCATTGCCTTGTGAAGGCTGTGGGCTGCGCTCTGGGGACCCATCTAGATCCCCTCTTTGTGCGTCCTGTACGCCTGCACTGCTTTGCCAGTCGCCCATGCGTCCCTCCGGTTCTTCAGGGGGGGTGGTTGGTACAGCGGGTACCGCATTTTCCCTGGAAGCTTTTTCCTCTGTCATGGATGGGTTTGTGACGCGCATGGAGCACGCCTTGACGCAACGACGGCCTAGGAAATGGGCTTTGCCTTTGCCGTCCCCTGTCTTGTTGGGGGAGTCCGGGTGATTCCTCACACCCTGATTCGGCCAGTGAGGATGAGGCAGCGTCTACGCTCCTGGTTCAGGAACGTGAAATGGTTTCGGCGCTGTCAGGGAGACCCTTAAAATTGAGGATGTTGCCAGCGCTTCTGCACTTGCAGTTTGGGACGCATAAAAGTAGGCGTTCCGCCAAGGTGTTTCCTTGCATCTCCTTACATAGTTACATAGTTAGTCAGGTTGAAAAAAGACACAAGTCCATCGAGTCCAACCTATAGAGATACAAAGAAAAAAAAAAAGAAGAAAAGCCTAAACAGAACACTATGCCCACAATTACCCACTGTTGATCCAGAGGAAGGCAAAAAAACCCCCTATAATGCACGCGTTAATTTGCTCCAACAGGGGAAAAAATTCCTTCCTGATCCCATAAAGCAATCGGATATTCCCTGGATCAACAATCTCTGATGCTTAATATACCTAATAAGAACTCAATATCCAGTAATTATTTATGCGCATTTAGGAATACATCCAGATGTTTTTTAAACCAATTAACCGAGCTAGCTAGAACAAGCTCCTGGGGGAGTCTATTCCACATTTTCACAGCTCTAACTGTGAAGAATCCTTTCCGTATGCAAAGGTTAAACCTCTTTTCCTCCAGATGCAGAGTGCCCCCTTGTCCTTTGCAGTGACTTTAACGTGAATAATTTGGCACCAAGTTCTTTATATGGACCATTTATGTATTTATACATTGTGATCATGTCCCCCCTTAATCGCCTCTTCTCCAGAGAGAACAAATTCAGGTCAGCTAATCGTTCCTCATAGCTTAGCTCCTTCATGCCTCTTATGAGTGTGGTCGCCCTTCGCTGCACTTTCTCCAGTTCCACAACATCCTTTTTGTGAACTGGTGCCCAACACTGAACTGCATATTCCAGATGAGGTCTTACTAATGCTTTGTACAGGGGCAGGATTATGTCTCTGTCTCCCTCTTAATACAAGAAAGTATTTTGCTTGATTTAGAAACTGGAGCTTGACATTGCATGCTATTATTGAGTCTATGATCTACCAATTCGGCCTTGGATGCAGTGTCGGTGGTGACGCTTCGCCGTTTACTTTGGCTTAAGTGCTGGTCGGCTGATCAGGCTTCCATGAAGGCTCTATAGGAATTGCCCTTTTACTGGGGACCGTCTGTTTTGGTTCCACCTTGGACGAGATAATTAAAGATCTGACGGGGTAAGAGTACTTTCCTTCCCCAGGAGCGCAAGAAGGAGCAGCGACAAAAGCCTACTTTATCCGCTCACAAACGGCTTTTTCGGCCCCCTCCGACAAGGGCGGGAAGTTTAACAAATTCTCCTTCCCAATCTTCCAAGCGTCCGTGGCAGCCTAAGTCTGCCAAGCCCGCCGGCAAGCCCCAGTCCGCATGAAGGTCATGCCCCCTCTCTGGTTCCAAGGGTGGGGGGGGCCTTCGGCTCTTTGCGGATTTTTGGTTGGCCCGCGTCTTTGACTCTTGGGTCCGGGAGCTGGTTTCTTCGGGGCTACAAGATCGAATTTCTGTCCTTTCCGGGGAACCAGTTCTTCCCGTCCAACACGCGACTCTCTCCCGGTTCTCTTGGCGGATCTCCGTTGCCCTGTTGCAGACCTTTTGTCCCAGGGGGTGATCGTGCCGGTTCCGCCCTCGAAAAAGTTCACAGGGTTTTATTCAAACCTATTTACCGTGCCCAAGAAAGAGTGGGTTCGGCTGATCCTGGACCTCAAACGCTTGAACACCTTTGTGCCGGTCCGTCGGTTCCGGATGGAGTCGATCCGGTCCGCGGTGGCCTGGCTTCATCGGGGATTTGCTGGCCTCCATCGACATCAAGGATGCCTACCTTCATGTGCCCGTTTGCGGGTCCCATCAGCGGTATCTTTGTTTCGCGGTGGGTAGGAGCATTTTCAATTTGTGGCGCTGCCTTTTGGGCTGGCATCGGCCGCACGGGTGTTCACCAATGTACTTGCCCCGATTCTGGCGCTGTTGCGTTTTTGGGGGGTTTCGATTGTGGGTTACCTGGACAATCTGCTTCTGCGGGCAGAGTCTCACTCCTTGATAGTGACGGCTCTGGAGGTCACGGTGCGGTCCTTGGAGGAGTTCGGTTGGCTCCTGAACCTCCTTAAGACTTGCCTGGTGCCTTACCCACGCCTGGAGTATCTAGCTCCTAAAACTTCGTTCCAAAGTCCGGCTGCTGCGGACTCGCCGGTGGTCACCCATTCACCACACCAGGACTCTGCAGAGGAACATCCTGGTACAGTGGGATCAAGTCCCCCCTGTCCTTGGACAGGAAGATTCGGGTGTCTCTGGAGGCGAGGGCCTCCCTGCAGTGGTTGCTTCACTCTCCGGCCTTGGTGCGGGGGAAGTCCTTCCGCCCTGTGCACTGGACGGTGGTCACCACGGACGCCAGCCTTTGGGGCTGGGGTGGAGTCCTGAGCTCCTTGACCGTGCAGGGTCGTTGGTCGACGGAGGAGTCTAGTCTGTCGATAAATGTGTTGGAACTTCGGGCGATTCGTCTTTCCCTCCTTCATTGGTCGACCCGGCTTCAGGATCT